CTGCATTCTTTTTCACAAATATATCTTAAAATTCTCGATATTGGCTATGAATGACACTTGAAGTCTTTACACCATTAGAAATGGATGTGGCATAAATAACATAAGGTGATCCTTCTTTTGCAACATGTAAGAAAGCTCTTGCAGCTACAAATATAAGTTTAATTATACTAGACTTGTGATTTTTTACTTAATTAATTACACTCTTAGTTATACTTTTAGAAAAGTCAAAAGTACAAGAAATCCAATCTATTCTAAGGTTGTATTTTTTTAACTATGATAAATCTAAAATAATTGGATTAAAAAGAGATCTAATGATATTAAATACTACAAAGCTATTCTGACTATTGTTCATTACTTCTATAGGAAGGGTTTCATAAATAACATCTCTAGAAAATAATGGACGACCATCTATGACTTCTACATGAACAGGTTTAGTTTTTCTTACTAAAGATACGCTAAATCTTTTAACAAATATTTCACCTAAGAAATATGCTAAGGCTCTTGAATGTAACAAGGCAGAGGCTTTGTAATATATAGATCCACAAATAATACTTAATGTAAAATAAAGAGAAGGTTCTGAGGAAAAAATAGGACCTTTATTAGATATTGTACAAGGTTCTAACTACATGGTGTCGTATTCTGATACAATTATATGATGAAAATATGACTAAAAATAATTTTTTAATTAATATTTTATTATATTAATTCAACAAGAATTCATAATATTTTAATAAAGTTTTTATGAAAGCTTCTTAGCCTATTTTCTTGTCTTAATAATAAGTAGATAAAAGTTAGTTAGTATTTTTACCTTCTAGGATACAAAATTTTTTTTATTACTTTAAAAAAGGTAATAAATTGATAAAATCAAGGAAGAAGAAATAAACAGTTGATATGGTAGATACTAAGGTCAAGTTAAGGGTAGGATTGGGCTAAAAAATCCTTAGGATATATTAGATTGATACTTGGGGGTCGACCATTTGTGAGACAAGGTCGAAATCAGACCTTTGGTCACTAAAATAACCGCTTAGGACAAATTAGGGATTCATTTAAAGATCAAAGATTAGAATTTGAGAGCTAGCTTAAAGTTCTTTTTGGAGGCATAAGGATTTATTTTGTAGAATTTTTGAAGACTATGCAATTATTGTTCAAAGTTAGGATTTGTATTAGTGATTTGGATTTTATATAATATAATTAGGGCTAGCAATTTTGGCTAGTTCGTGCAATTGATGTAACATCTACAGTTCAAAATTTGGTACTATTTGGATTATTAAGTGTGCTAAGTTTATATAAAATTTTGTTATAATCTAATGGTGTGATTTAGAAATATCTAGTTTTTAGCACAAGAAGGTTTCAAAAGTTGGAAATTTGGGGTTAGATAGAATTTCTATGATATCTAGAGATCTACAAGTCAAATCAATTGAAATTTGGCATGATGTTGAATGACTTAAAGATTAAGCTACATATCAGTTTTGAAGCAAAGTTACTAGTTGAAAAAGGAGAAATCACTGCTGGGATTTTTGCTTCACTTTTCAAGTTGGCAGCTGTGTGATATTAGTGTAATTTTTGGAGGTTTTCTCACAATCAATAAGTTGGATTGGGTTGAAAATTCTTGAACATATAGAAGACTTACATTGACAATTGTATGAAAAAATTCACATCAAGTAGATAGTCAGATTAGAAGTTATAGCTTGTTAAAGCTCATTGATTAAGATTGGGGCTTATAAGAAAAATCTAAATTGCTTAAATATGAAAGTGACAAGATAATTGAGGTTTATGTGTGATTGAGGCTACTAAGAAGAGTATTTTTTAGCACTTTTGAATTAGAATTTGAATTATATTCTTGTCATATGGATGAAACCTATTAGGAATTTTGGATGTTTGTGAAATACAACCTCACCTTCCATAGTTAGGTGTCTGGTGCATTCCCGAGCAAGACAATACATAATATAATAATGGTTCCTATTGTAAGTGGAGAAACTTATTTTTTGTTACATTGTATGCTTTAACATTTATACTCCTCATTTTATAATTATGTCACTTCTTTGGATAATGTTGAGCAGTGTGCTTAGATTCTCCATAATATATGTATAAACCTTCATGATGACAACAAGTCTTTTCTTGCTCAATAAGATATCTGAAACATATCGCTTTAATTTGCATATCCTCTATTTTAAAATGTATGTATTGAGGAGGCATTGATGTTGCCATTAAATTATTGTAATGTTGAGGCCCACTTGTCCGACTTTCAGATTAAAATTCAAAAAGTTGATTGTTACATTTCACAGCAAAGTTTAAGATTCTTATAAAAAATCTTTAAATGAATATAGAAAGGAATTCCTTGCTTTTCAAGTTAGAGATAAAATATAGCTTCTTTGATTAAATATTAAAATCAATTAATCTTGTAATAAATTAGACTATCAATGATTGGAGCCATTTTGTATTTGAAAGCAAATCAATCCAATGGCTTATTGGTTGGAACTACCCACATCCATAAAGATACATCTAATCTTTTATGTTTCTTTTTTAAAAGCTTATTCAAAATTAACTATTTTAGGAAGAATACAACCATCACTGCCTTGTATTAAAATATATAATTATATAAAATATGAGGTAAAAAAAGTCGTTGATTCTTAATAAAAAAGAGATAATTTGAAATATTTTATTCATTAGAATGGCTACAATGTCAATGAGTATACGTAGGGATCAATAAAAAAATCTAATTAATATGTCGCAAAAGGTAAAGAGTTTCATCAACACTATCTTCAAAAATCTAAACCTATTTTAGGATGACTTCTCTATAAAGCTACTATTAGAGTGTTGTACATAACCAAAAAAATAAATATTATTCACATCAATATTAAAATTATATATATTTAATTTATAATCTAATATGTTGAATTGGAGAGTATTTAAAAAGTCTTTAGATCATGAATCTCAAAGTAGAGCCAAAGTTAGAACTTTCTTCATTACAACTATTAGATTAATTATTCCTACTCTCACAACCTTTGTAAGTTCATCCTTGAGATGAAGCTAGACTGCTTCAAGAAAAAAAATCACCTATGCTACATCTAATTCAAATAAGAAAACCTTAAAAATAATGCTCATAATCTGTAGTCATTCTATTGCATATATGAAATTGATGCTCTTTGTAGAATTTAGAATTAAAAGAAGAGATAATATTACAGACATCCAACAAATAAATTTTAAAAATATTTTTAGAATATTCTATTATGTTCTAAAAGGTTTTAAAAATATTTCAAGAGATTTTAGAAAGTTCTAAGAGAATTAAGAAAGTTGTCCAAGAAACTTTCTAGGATTGTTTTATCTTTAATCAACATAGAAACTTCTCAAGAAGCTTTTTAATACCTAATATAAATTGGAATTGACATTGAAAGAATTCTTAGTCTCAATAACAAATCTCTTAGAACTCTAGATCACCTCTCTTGATATTCATCTCGTACTCATCTGACTTAATCAAGTTTTTGCTAGCTTTCTTATTGAAATTCTTTTGTTCAACTTCTTGTTTAGTCTTATGTATAGTATATCTATGACATAAGCTACCTTTGATAGTTTAATATTTAATTTCAATATTAACTCAAAAATTGAAGCAATCAAAAATAAGTTTTTTATATTGATAATAACCAAATCAATAATTTTGAGGCAAATCTTTTATTTTTAAAGAAAAAATCTTGTAATTTATTTTTTCTTAAGCTATACTATATCCCTCTTATCCACCATTTCTTCATTATATCCCTCTTAATACCATTCTTTGTAATTATAAAAAATAAAAGAGCTTGGTATCAAACAACAAGCACCATCTTCTATATATATATATATATATATATATATATATCCATATAAATATATGTGATCTTATAAAAATATAGAGGATTTTTTTGCTTTGATACTCCCAATAGATAAATTCAAATATACATATGTTTACATGATGAAAGCAATTTAAATAAGATCTTTGAATTATCATAGATATAAGACAATAAAATAAAAATTTGATTTATCATATTTTTAAAAAGTAAGAATTAATTTAATACATGAGTAGCAACAAAAATTATAAAGATTTATTTTATCTTTTACATGTTTAGAATTGAGCACTTAAGTTTGTTTTTGTTTTTTTAGTTTTTTTTTAGTTTTTTTAATAATTTGGCATGTCTATGAGAGCTAAAATTACTTTTCTATTTATTTCTTGATAAAAAGTAAAATTTATTTTAAATCTTAAAAACTCTAAGATTTTTATATCTATGGAATACTTAATAAACCATTTTTAAATAATAATATTTGTTAGTAGAAGTGGTTATTTAAAAATTAGAAGCATAAAAATATAAATATAAAGATTTATTTCTTATATTAGAAAAATATATATATATAAGAAAACTTATTTAAAATGTTATTTTTGGCAATGCCATTTTTAATTTATTTTAATGTTATGAAATTTTTATATTTTTGTGTTCATAAAAATTAAACATAGTAAATTAAAATCTATTAATTTTTCAAATATTCTTTAAAAAAGGCACATTTTCACAAATATTTTATAAGTGAAATTAAAAAAATATAAGAGAATAAAAACACAAGGTTGAAAATGATTTGAGGTAGAATTAATTAATATAGATAAGAACATCAATTCTTTTATTGTAAAATTATGTATGAAGTGCCACACGGCTAGAAATAATTCCAATGAAAAGCCCAAACACTAAATATGAACGAAAAGCGTATAATTACACTCATTTACGCTCCCACAAAAGCAAAATAATAATTTGATGAAAGCTCATTTCCAAAGCAGCCCACCAAGGGTAGGTCCGGAGGACGAGCCTAAGAGCCGAGCCTGAGAAAACTCGAGGTTTGGGTAGGATACAAACTAGGGCTCATCCAACCAGAATCTACAGAACGATTACGTGGATTTTCGGTTGATTACGGATGAATTGAGATTGGATGGATGAATGAAGAATCGCAGGGTTATCCGAACCCAATCCAGCGGGATCACAGCCATCCTTTTCTTCTTCAGCTCATTTGCTTCTCGCGAGGCCCAAACTCTCCTTCTCGCACTCCTACCGCCAGCTTCGCTCTCGCACCGCGGCTCTTCTTCTGTAGCGTATGCGGAGGAGTGGTGGAGAGGAGGAGGAGGAGGAGACTGCGTGAGCGTGAGCGAGCTTGCCAAGGCAATTAGCAATGGCTTCCTTCACCATGATGCACTCGTCCGCGCTGCTGCGCAATAGCACCGCGGACACGCCTGCAGCTCCCCTGGCTGCTGCCGCTGAGAAGAGCTCCTGTGGAGTGGCAATGCGCCAGAGGCGAGGCGTTCATTTTGGAGAGTCCTCTGAGGAGTCGTTTTTCGGGCAGAGTGTAAGTGTAGGCAAGCCTGCCGCTGTTGCAGGATGCAGGACCGTGAAACGGAGTGCTGTGAAGGCTGCCGCGACTTTCGACACCAAGACCAAAGTAGCCGTGGTGCGCATTGGCACTCGTGGAAGGTTAGTTAGTTCCTTCAGGAGTGCTCAATTTGTGGATATGCGCCGATTTTCTCTACGCGTGTGAGGTTTCTGGTGATGACATTGTGGAGAGGCGGAAGTGACTTTCGTTTGTGTGTTTGGTGGTTTTTTTTGGATGTCTGAATTTTGAATTGGAGATAATCGGCACCCTCGTAATTTGAATGTCCAATGAGTTTTGTTCCGACTTAGTACATCTTGTTGACACTTTTTTCTTTCACTTTCTCTTTTGAGAAGTGTTGCTCAGGCTTTTCACTGATTAGTCTTATTAGTTTACTTGTAACTGTTTTGGAAACTCAATAGTGGAACTAGAGTTGTAGGGTTTTAGTTTTGAAGCTGCAAGAATCTCGAGTCTAATATGTGGTGCCATTTTAAGGCGTATATGAATGTGCTGGGCATGTTCGTGGAGCGTCTGATTTCCCTCAGTAGGAGTGAAGTTTGACGAAGCATAGAACGATGGAAGTATGAATGGAGGTTATCCTGAGTATTCAGAAAAAAATTGTTCAAAGTACTGTGCGCTCTTTTTCGTTTCCGAAGTGTGCACCTAGTAACGTGGAATGGGATTGGGAATGCAGTCCTTTGGCACTGGCACAGGCTTATCAAACTCGGGACAAGCTCAAGGCAGCTCATCCAGAATTGGCGGAGGAAGGAGCCCTTGACATCGTCATCATCAAAACCACTGGAGACAAGATATTGAGTCAACCGTTGGCAGATATCGGAGGCAAGGGTTTGTTCACCAAGGAGATTGATGATGCTTTGTTGAATGGCGATATCGACATTGCTGTCCACTCCATGAAAGACGTTCCCACCTATTTGCCAGAGGGTACAATACTCCCCTGCAACCTTCCTCGCGAGGATGTCCGTGACGCCTTTATTTGTCCAAAATACTCTTCACTCGCTGAACTGCCAGAAGGGAGTGTGGTTGGAAGTGCATCTCTGCGGAGGCAATCCCAACTTCTTCACAGATACCCTCATCTTCAGGTAATAGACGCCTGTGCTTTCTTTCTTCCAGACTCTACATCTTCACTCTTTATTTTTATTTTATTTGAGTGTGTTTTTCTCACGATTGTGTGCTCTTATACTCCACATAATGTTGATTTCTTTCTAGAGCCTTGTTAAAAGCGAGTTGAAAACTGACTTTGTAGGATTGCGAGGTATCACAAAAGTGTGTTCGCCTTTCAGCTAGGCTCCTCAAGCATTGTTAAGAAATGTACAATCGGATGTATAGCGAGATATGCACTGGATTCGTGATTAAATTTAATCTTCCTGTTTTGCCAATTGAACGTAGTTAATCGCTCAAGAAAAGCACGTCTAGGAATTCCTGGAATTTCGTAAATTCGTTGTCTGTAATTTAAAGTACTGCCATTCTTTAATTTTTTGAAAACTTATTTACACTGGCCGAATAAGTCAACAAACAGCATCACAGATTCTCTGAGTAGGTCGCAATACAAATAATCCGCAGCGGATGGCTAGATTTGTGAATGGGTCGCGAAGAAGACTTCTAGCACTCCAATGATGTTCGAGAAAAATTTGATTGCGACTCAATTCAATCCTTTTTGATTGGGAATATCAATGTCTTTTACGCAGCTTGTCATTTTGCAGATCTTATTTTCATAAGCACTGCTTAACACATACCACATCTTCTGTGCTGCCGCAGGTAGTAAACTTCAGAGGAAATGTCCAGACCCGGCTTCGTAAGTTGAATGAAGGAGTGTGCGCAGCCACTCTCTTGGCCCTGGCTGGCCTGAAGCGATTGGACATGACAGAACACATTACAGCTATCCTTGAGACCGACGACATGCTCCCTGCTATTGCCCAAGGAGCTATTGGTATTGCTTGTCGAACTGGTGATACTAAAATGGTGAGTCTGAATAGGTGGAGAAAGGAATTATCTCGTTTTGTTATACTCTGAAGGTTTCGACTGGTCAAGGTTTACTAGTGTGCAATACTAGTTGTCATCTCACACTATTGAGGTTTATGTGAGTTCTAGAAGTATAACTGTATCGAATACCTTGTTTGATTCGGATGATTGATTGTTATTAAATCTGCAGGAGGAGTATCTCGCTTCACTGAATCATGAGGACACGAGGCTCGCAATTTCCTGCGAGAGGGCATTTTTAGCTAAGCTGGACGGCTCATGTCGCACACCAATTGCTGGTTTGGCACAACGTACTGAGGATGGGTGCCTGTTCCGGGGCCTGGTTGCAACAACTGACGGCAAACAAGGTTTGTGTCAGCTACCTGTTTTCTTTTATGGGTGCAGGTACCCGCAGTCAAGTTGTAAGGTTCATGTCCCTTGGAGAGCTGATAGCTCTACAGATTTGCTTGCAGCGTGCACTGGTGTAGCAAACTTTCTACTTAATGTTCATCTTGTGTTATATCGCGTATGAGCAACTGAGTTGCCCGCAGTGAAGGAATGTAATAGCCTCAAAATAGTGAGATCTGTATGCTTAGCTCCTTAACCACGAGGACTAAAACCCGTTATGTGATGCGTCAGTGTTGGAGACTTCAAGGACGGGCTCATTTTCCTACGATGACATGATCGCTTTGGCGCAAGATGCCGGACAAGAGCTCATCTCAAGAGCTGGCCCAGGTTTTTTTCAGTGGTAGTCCTTCAGAATGTGCCAACCCAACTTGGACTGGTGTGAACCATTGTAAGAACGCGCACAAACGTTGGACTGGAAGGTATGGACAGATGGTGTAGTCATAGAAGAGCAGGTTCCCAAGGAAATCGGTGGCCTCAGTTCTCCGCGGCTTGTAGGGATCGTTTTAGGTTCATGGAGGCAAGGCCCAGTTTGTGACGGTCAGAGAAATTCAAGTGGGGCTGAAGTTTTTTCGTAGTTTTTAGGGACAAACTGCTGGCTGTTATACTCAAAGGAGGAAATGAGTTTCTGTAGTAATCTATCTGTATCCGCCACTCTTGCACCAATAGCAAAGGACATTATCCGCGTGTCATATCATGAAGAAGTTCATGTTGATAAAGCTTGATCGTGGCTCTGGCGTGAAATTTCACATGTTCTTTCAATCTATGCTCAAATATTTTGATCATTGTTTTGATAATCATAATGTTGATTAGTACTGTTATTATCATTATGGTAAATTTCATTATATACCATTGACAGTGTATTTATTGAAAAGAAACTTAGCGTCGATTTCAACCTAATTTAAATTCATGGCGATGGGACATGGTTTTGCTATTTGAAAATTTAGAGTGATTTTAAAGTGGAAACTTGCTGATAAAAAGGGTCTGCTTTGTTGTCAATTATATTTCCTCACACTTATAAATTAGATTTGAAAAAATCTTTTCTTATACATTGTTCTACAACCATTGCATTATAGAAAGAATTTGTTTAATTAAAGATATAGATTGAACAATGGTACATGACATTTACTTCCATTGAATGTAGTTCCTACTCCTTACAAAATGTTATAATAAGCCATATTTGGTGATTAATATCAACCAATAACACAACACTAAATATCTACCAATATTACAATATTTTTAGAGAAAAGCTGAAGTAACCCAAGGTTTTCTCAAAACAATCCATCTTACTTCCAATTTTCATCTCAATACCTTTCATTCTCAATTTTTATCCCAACTCCTCCTTTTCACAATTTTCATCCTCATCTCTCACATTCCTAGTTATCATCCCAATCTTTTTTATTCCTAATTCTCATCATGATCCTCCTCATTCCTAGTTTTTATTTTAATCTCTTTTTATTCTAATTTTCATTATCATTCCCTCATTTCCTAGTTTTTATTCTAATTTCTTGTATTCCTAATTCTTATTCGCATCCTTTCTATTTCAAACTTTCATTTAAATCTCTTTTATTCCTAATTCTCATTCGGATCCTCTCCATTCCTAGTTTTCATCCTAATCTCTTCTATTCTTAATTCTCATCCTGATCTTGTTTATTCTTAGTTTTCATCCCAATCTCTTTTATTCTTAATTCTTATCCTGATTCTCTCCATTTCTAGATTTCATCCCAATCTCTTTTATTCCTAATTCTCATTATGATCCTTTCTATTCCTAGTTTTCATCCCATTATCTTTTATTCTTAATTTTCATCCTAATTCTTTCTATTCCCAGTTTTCATCCTAATCTCTTTTAATCTTAATTCTCATCTTGATTCTCTCCATTCTTAGTTTTTTTCCTAATCACTTTGATTCTTAATTCTCAACATAATCCTATCTATTCCTATTATTTATCCCAATAACTCTTATTCTTAATTCTCATCATGATTCTTTCTAATCCTAATTTTCATCCCAATCTCTTTTATTCTTAATTCTCATCCTGATGCTCTCCATTCTTAGTTTTCATCCCAATCACTTTTATTCCTAATTCTCATTATGATCTTTTCTATTCCTAGTTTTCATCCTAATCACTTTTATTCTTAATTTTGATTTTGATTCTCTCTATTCCTAGTTATCATCTCAATCTCATTTACTCTTAATTCTCATTCTGATGCTCTCCATTCCTAGTTTTCATCCCAATCACTTTTATTCCTAATTCTCATTCTCATCCTATCTATTCTTAGTTTTCATCCCATTCTTTTATTCTTAATTCTCATCCTAATTCTCTCTATTTCTAGTTTACATTCCAATTTCATTTATTCTTAATTCTCATCCTGATTGTGTCTATTCCTAGTATTCATCCCAATGAGTTTTATTCCTAATTCTCATCATGATCCTTTCTATTCCTAGTTTTCATTTTTATTAAAGTAAATAGAGGATAAGTTAGAAGGTAAAAGATATTATTTTAGATAATTTGCTAATGATCAAAGGGCAGCAAAAGGATGAAGGAAAGTTACCAAGGTGGCAGCTAGGGTTTAAAGTGGCAGCTAGATTAAGAAGAATGTAGGGTTTAGTTGTATGAAAGTAAGATGAATACTAGCCAAAATGGATGTTATTTCTACCTATAAGTAAAGGGTGTTGGAAGTGAGAGGCATCTTATTCCACACTTCTCTTGTGTCTAATCTTGCTGATTTCTACTTACTTGTGTCTTGCTTATTAAATTTTCTTCAATAGGTTATGGGCCCACACACACTTTGTTGTGCTATTCAAGTAAGTTGAAGTCCTTTGCTAGTTGTTCTTCTTGAGTGGAATAAATCTTATAATATTTCCTGATGTTAGAGATTGTATCATCTAATCTTGTCTTTTGACTTGTGGAAGTTCTGATTTGGGCCTTATAGATCTCTTACATTAGTTTGAAGGTTCTTAATTCCTAGGATTGAGTGATTAAGACCTTATACAAAGACCTTGATAGTATCTTTGATTTTGTCATGAGAAAGTGAGTTTTATGAGTGGAAGAACTAGCTGGTGAGGTTGATGGGATTTCACATCCTATTAGAAGCTTCAAAAGTTGATTTGGGAGTGTTTGGAGTGAAGAAATATTCATTTGTTTACAAGAGGGCATTCTGAGATTTTGCTAGTACAAAATTATTTTAGTGATTTTAAGTACATAGAGACTCCTTTTCTTGATATTATTTTGATAGACTTCTTCTAAGACATGGCTTCAAGTGAGGGTGAAGGTTTGAGAGTGATTAAAAAGTTTAGAGGTGATAATTTCTACCATTGGAAGGTCAAAATAGAGCTTTTGTTGGTGTCTTTTGACCTTTGGAACATTGTAGATAAAAGTGAAGAGCCTCCAAGCATGCATGCTGATGCTAAAGAGAAGGACTTCATAAGACGTGAAAAGAAGGCATTTGGTATGATTGCCACCAATTTAGATGAAGCCAACTTTTCTCACATCATCTCTTGCAAAGGACCAGCAGAAGCATGGAAGGCTCTTTGTAACATATATGAAAGCAAGAACTTATCCAATATTATCTTCATAAGGAGGAAATTCTTCACTTGCAAGATGGAAGAAGGTGAAGACCTCATGACTCATGTCAACAAGGTAAAGGCCCTTGCTAATCAACTTGCTATTGTTGACAAGCCTTTAGAAGAGAGTGATATTGTCATGACCTTGCTTATGAGCCTTCTCAAGTCCTACAACTATCTTATTGTGGCATTGGAATCCATCAAGCTAAAAGAACTCACAATGGATTATGTGATGGCAAGACTTGTCCATGAAGTGACCAAGAGAAAAGAAAAAGAGTCCCAAAGTGAGGATTCAATTCTCTTTTCAAGACAAGGCAAGGGGAGTCATCCTAACTAATGTGGCAATGTGAGAACTTGCTTCATTTGTGGAAAACCAAGTCACTTTGCTCGAAATTGCTACAAGGCTAAGAAATGAGATAGAGAAAGTACAAACAATGCTCGTGATGAATATGGAGGTGATGATTATGCATTCATGGCAAGTGAAGGTACTTCTATGGCTACCATGTCCAAGTGGATCATTGATTCTGGTGCCACCAAGCACATGACTCCATATAAGTGTTCATTTGATACTTATGAAGAGATTTCAACAGCAAATATCATCATGGGAGATAATGGCATAGTACAAGCTATTGAAATGGACTCCATTATTATAGAGATTATTGTAAAAGGCCAAACCAAGAGGATCAGATTGAAGGATGTCTTACATGTGCCAAAGATAAAGAAAAGCCTTCTCTCAATGAGTAAACTTGTTTCACATGGTTGTAAAGTACAATTTGATAAGAATGGGTGTTTTGTGAAGACATTGAAAGGAGATCATATTGCAAAAGGCTTTAGAGATGACAACTTCTACTTCATCAAGTGTAAGAAGGTAAATGGAATTGAAGTGGCGACATTTGCTGAATTTTCTCAAGATCAAGACAAATTTGGTATTTGGCATCGATGCCTTGGTCATTTGAATGCCAAGAGCATGAAAGAGCTCCAATCCATGGTAAGTGGCTTAGATCTTGGTCATATAAGCCACAATGCTATGACACTTACTTGTGATGGTTGTATTGAAGGCAAACAATAAAGGGCCTTATTTCCAAGTGGAGTTGCAACACATGCAACCAAATTATTGGAGATTATTCATTCTGATGTTTGTAGACCTACGAAGATGCCATCAATAGGAGGTGCAAGGTATTTTGTCACATTCATTGATGAATTTTCAAGGAAAGCATGGATTTTTATCTTTAAAGCAAAGAGTGAATATTTTATAAGGTTTAAGGAGTTTAAGGCACTTGTAGAGAAGCAATGTGAATGCAAAATCAAGGTATTGCATACAGACAATGGAGGTGAGTATATGTCAAAGCAATTCAATGATTTCTTAAAGTTGTATGGTATTGGAAGACAAACCTCCACTCCTTACATTCTACAACAAAATGGAGTTATTGAAAGAACAAATCGGACCATTGTGGAGATGGAAAGGAGTATGCTTCATGTACAACACCTTGGACATGACTTTTGGATAGAAGCAGTGGTGAATGTAGTGTACACAAGAAATAGGTATTCTACAAGTACACTTACATCAATGACGTCGGTGTCGTAATATGTGAAGTCTTGCTTGAGAATACACCGGGCACTTGGTTGTAGAAGGTAAAAGAAAATTACAATAAAAGGTCTTAACAATCTAATAAGATTATAGAGAAATTATAATTAAATGTTAACAATTATAATCAAAAATTAAGCAAGCTCAATTAAATTTTATTGAAGTTATAAAAGAAACACAAAGAAATCCTAAAGAAATATAAAAGAATATTAAAAAAAACTTAGTCAAATCCTAACAAAAATCTAAATAAACCTTAAATTCTAACCAAACACTGATCCTAATCCAATATTAATCAAATCCTAGACAAATCCTAAATCCTAAACATACCCTAGTCAAATCTTAGACAAATCCTAACCCTAATAAATCCTAATCAATTCCAAATCTTAAACAAACCCTAGTCAAATCCTAAACAAACTCTAATCAAATCCTAATCAAACCCTAACTCTAAATCCTAATCAAATCCTAATCCTAACCAAATCCTAAATCCTAAACCAAATCCTAACTAAACCCTAATCCTAAATCCTAATCAAACCCTAATCATAGATTTACCAAGTCAAATCCTAATTATAGATTTGAAATTTAAATAACTAAAGATTGAACCGTTGATTCTAATTCA